ACAAACCCTTACAGACATGATATAGAAATATCTAAATTAACAGACACAATCTCTCTCTCTCAAAGAGATGCATGTATGATAACAGCAAAGCAAGAGAGATTACCCAGTTTTTCCACCAGTCTCTTGGATATCAGAACTGAGTTCAGTTATCCGATCATCAACATCAACGTTCCAATTACTTTTATCGTACTTAAAACTATGACCATCCATCATGCAAACTCTGCGAAATCCAAAACAACGAAAACAGTAAAAAAAAAATGAAGTATAGAAAATGTGCATTGTTATCAACCCAGTTCAAAAGAGGAAAATCATCCACATGCAGAAGATAAAATGGAACCCTAGAAAGTGAAAGTGGCGATAAAGAATATTAAAAATGGAAAAACCATCAAATTCAAGCTAAAGGTACCTGAATTATGTCTACATATGTTATTTTCTGTGCATATTTTCCATATAAAGCCTTCAGGTATTTTTAATTTCAGGTGTCACAATTGAAGTACTGATTTTGGGAAGTATTTGATTTGTGTTGAGATCGATAGTCGAAAGGGAACCCGAGAGTCTTGGAGAGAGAAATAGAGAGAAGGGGGGAGAGTGAGGCTACATTATGAGGGAGAGGGGAAGGTGAAGAGAGGAGGACGGTTTGTTTGAGAGAAGGAGAGAGGTGAAAATATTTATTACAACAGTGATACTATATGACAATATGATATAATATCACATACCAATAATATTAAAACAAATAAGCAAATGAAATCTACAAAAATTAATAACCAACTAGTAATATAAACAAATAACTCCTCATTTTTCCTCTATATCAGTTCAAGTGAGGTTCAGTTTATCTAATTGGAGTTTTATTATTAGTTAGTGGTATCATGTTATCAATGGTGACATTATATCACCGTTATATTCAATATTTAATCAAGAGAGAGAGGGTAACGGCTGAGAATCAATTAGAGGTGATGATTTGGTTTAATGTGACATTTACTCTAAAATAGTATAGATAGATAGATAGATATACATAAATATAATAGATATTAATAGATTAATGTGTATATTGTTGGTGTATTAGTATGTTTATATTAAGAGTTTTAATTATTTTATGAATTAATAGATTAGTTTGAGAGAGAGAAGAGAGCCGACACATTCTAATATCTCGAAATCTTGTTGTAGGTTTACTCTCTATCGAGCAAAAAATGATTGGTTTGGTTTCATAACAGATAGGATTGCTATCCTATTTCACCCCCACTTGTCACGTGAATATTACTGGGTCGAATTCCCTGTCTTTATATCTGACACTAAAAAAAAAAAAGGTTTTGTCAATGATAAAAAAAAGGTTATGTCGATGGTTGTTTGTACTTAATTTGTTAGCATAATTTATTATTATCGTTATATTTACAATAATTCTAATGTTGAATGAACATACTAGCCATTCGATTGTGTATTAGATAAGATTAAATTCTAATGTTGAATGAACATACTAGCCATTGTATTATATAAGATTAATAAATTATGTTAATTACATAAATCTATATAGTATTATAATAAAAAATAACCGGTTACCATAAATAGAACAACTCAAATATATTTTGCCTGGAATAAGAGTAATGTTATAGAGATTTAATTTGTACGCTTAATTAAGGATCCAATTTAATAAAATTATTAAATTAGTTGTGAATTTCAATGTTAAATGAAGTCCACTTTCAATCCAGTGGTATTATCACATGGGTTCGTTTAATAGACGTATTATGAGGTAATTAAATATTAAATTGTACTAAATTTATTTAATCAGGCCTAATATTTTGTTTGCTAAGCAAATTTAATACAGTATTAATTTCAAAAATATATACTAATTATATATTTATCGTATATTTTTTATACGTTAGATCTATATTATGGAGGTATTTTAATACCACAAAAAGATGTGGTATTATAATCTAACTCAAACATATTATTTTACACATTTACCATTATAACACCCAACTGATAAAATCAAACTATTATCAATGTAACAAATACTGATTGAGGGTATTTTTGTTAATTCAACATTAATACAATAAAATAATTTATTAACCAAACAGTCAATTGGATTAAATAATTACTATATAACGTTTATATTGTGTATTACCAAATATTAGATAAAATTTCGTATTATTCTAATACCATATTTAGTCTTGCCTTTTGTCCTTCTATATTTTATAAAATTAAATTNTACTTAATTTGTTAGCATAATTTATTATTATCGTTAAATTTACAATAATTCTAATGTTGAATGAACATACTAGCCATTCGATTGTGTATTAGATAAGATTAAATTCTAATGTTGAATGAACATACTAGCCATTGTATTATATAAGATTAATAAATTATGTTAATTACATAAATCTATATAGTATTATAATAAAAAATAACCGGTTACCATAAATAGAACAACTCAAATATATTTTGCCTGGAATAAGAGTAATGTTATAGAGATTTAATTTGTACGCTTAATTAAGGATCCAATTTAATAAAATTATTAAATTAGTTGTGAATTTCAATGTTAAATGAAGTCCACTTTCAATCCAGTGGTATTATCACATGGGTTCGTTTAATAGACGTATTATGAGGTAATTAAATATTAAATTGTACTAAATTTATTTAATCAGGCCTAATATTTTGTTTGCTAAGCAAATTTAATACAATATTAATTTCAAAAACATATACTAATTATATATTTATCGTATATTTTTTATACGTTAGATCTATATTATAGAGGTATTTTAATACCACAAAAAGATGTAGTATTATAATCCAACTCAAACATATTATTTTACACATTTACCATTATAACACCCAACTGATAAAATCAAACTATTATCAATGTAACAAATACTAATTGAGGGTATTTTTGTTAATTCAACATTAATACAATAAAATAATTTATTAACCAAACAGTCAATTGGATTAAATAATTACTATATAACGTTTATATTGTGTATTACTAAATATTAGATAAAATTTCGTATTATTCTAATACCATATTTAGTCTTGCCTTTTGTCCTTCTATATTTTATAAAATTGAATTATTTTATTTAATCCATTCATATCTAATATGACAATCAAACGAGCACATTACATCAATATTGTCACGGGATATAATCACCCAATAATAACTCAATAAATAAATAAAACAAACTTCATTCATTCAAATAACCACCCCTTCACATAAGATACTAATAGTCAACTATCGAAAAAGTTGAGTTCAGTTTCTCACTTGTTTATTTATTATTAATTAATTATATTACGTGATAATATTGACGTGATGTTATTTGCTCTGAAATTATGTCCAAGTTACACCTTTCATGAATAATGCTATTTAAACTTAAAAATTTAATCTGAATTATTGACATAATGATATAATTTTTATTATAATTATTAGATCAAGAGCAAGTTCTAATATTTTATGAGACCCAAAATGATAAATCAAATCCAAATTTTAAAACCAAATCTCATTTCCCCCATAAATATATGTGGGTATGTTGGAAAGAAAAAGCCATAAATAAGCAACAGCTTGACCACCTAAGAGCCACCTCGTCTCGTTTCGACCCCTTTTTCAGAAACGTACACAAGAGGACCATCCGATTGAGAAAATAAAGCTAAAAAATATCATTCACTTGGGAAAAAAGAATAAAAACTCTCCTCTCCTCTCCTCTCCTCTCCTCTGCTACTCTCTCTCTCTCTCTCTCTCTCTCTCTCTATTAAAGTTCTTCCAAAACATCTGATCAACCCCGAGAATTGTCCAAGTCTGTAAGAGACAAACAACAATCTAATCAGATACCCATTTCAGTTCCTTTAAGTTTGATCGAAAATTTTCTGTTTTGGTGAGATTTAACGGCAATAATAGACAGATTTCATATGGGTTTTGAGAATTGTTGGGTTTATATTACATGTAATTTTTATTTTTGAAGTTTTGTTTCTCGATCTGTAACGATCATAATGTACAGATTTGGAGATTACCCTTATGTTACTATGTTGTGTTTTTGAAGTTTCATTTTATTTTGTTTGATTCTTTTGGGTTACGTGTTGATTTGCACTTGTTTACCAGGCTCTCTGATGGTCCTTAGATCTTTAGTTTGTCAAATATCAAATTTTGATGGTTAATTTTCATACAGAAGTATTGACTATTGCAATCTCTGTTCTGGTTGTGTATCTGATCATTCCTATTTCGTATATTCGGCTTGATTTATTGTAAAATTCACGCGATGTATTGATTACAAAAGTGGATGAAAGTAGACCTTTTGGCGTGGAAGTTCCTTTCTCTTTTGGGCATGGAATATCCTTTGTTGGAAGATTAGTATTCTTCAGGCAACAGTTTTCTTTTGTTTGTGGTGTTTGTTTTTGGGTTTCTGTTCATTTATTATATTTGTGAGTGTGTCTCTGTTTACATGTTGTGGGATTCCTTTGTGTGTCCATCCTTTTACCTCTTGTTCTGGATAAATCGAAGTTGGATTATCTCTGTTTTTGCTAGGCTTAATATCGCATAATCGGGTAGCAAAGTTCTCTGCTTTTCAGTTCTATGGTTCATTTGTTGATACATTTGATCATTGAGATGCATTTTATTAGTTACAACGAACTTTCTATGTGTGTGGCAATTTCAAATTTGGATCAATCTAGTGCATGTGAATTTGGTTATCTAGCATCTTTTCTTGGCTTGCAAGAAGTTTGTATGCATTATACCTATCATTCTTAGTGTCTCGTAATTCTGTTCAGTTTCTTATTCCCTTTTGTTCCTTGAAATTCATTTTAACATGTGTTACATTTATAGGTTTGAGGGCCTTGAGGCTTGAAGTTTACTGATCAATACTCAAGGTGCATACTTCTGCCTATGATAATCACTACCATTTTAGCACATATTTGAGTCTTTGGAAAAAAACTAATTTAGTAATCATTTACATGTTTTTATAATTCATAGCAATTTTGATCTTCTCCTGTGCCTAGTTTGGGCACTGCAGACTTAGGCAGTGCCCATGGATGCCACAACGAGCAGAACCCCAACCATTCAGTACCATAACATTGTTGACGAACCGATTGCTGCTCTTGTCACCTCCGCTGTACCTACATTTCAACGACAACAACGACATTGCTTTGGGGATGCAAGTCCTGGGGAATTTCCATTGTCTGCCAACCCCTCTATCGTTCTTCATGTCCTTACTGCTTGTAATTTGGATCCTCGAGATCTCGCGAAACTAGAGGCAAGTACCGTGTTTCTTTCCATTTCAATAATGAAGCTCTTTATTGACGATAGAATTGATAATGCTGCTGTTTGGATTGTAATGGTGTGTTGCAGGCAACATGTTCCTTCTTTAGGCAGCCTGCAAACTTTGCCCCTGATTATGAGCTGTCTTTATCAGAGCTCGCGGCTCTGGATATGTGCCAAAAAAGGGCAATATTTAAGCCCATGACGGAAGGAGAACGCCAAGATTTGAAACAAAGATGTGGGCGCTCCTGGAAACTGGTCCTGAGGTTTTTGCTGGCTGGAGAAGCATGTTCTAGGAGGGAGAAGTCACAAGCAATAGCAGGGCCAGGTCACAGCATTGCTGTGACCTCAAAGGGTGCTGTTTACTCATTTGGGTCTAACAGCTCAGGACAGCTGGGACATGGCACAACAGAAGAGAATTGGCGGCCTTGCCAAATCAGGTTGCTAATTCCTATAATTGTCATAGACCTGGTATTGTAATTGAAAAACAGAGAGATGGTTGATTCCGAAAATAATTTAGTGGCACTCATTATGTTGCAGATCTCTGCATGGCATTCGTATTATCCAAGCAGCTGCTGGGGCTGGCCGGACAATGCTGATTAGTGATGCTGGACAGGTCTATGCCTTTGGAAAGGACTCATTTGGGGAAGCTGAGTTTGGTGTTCAGGGAAGTGGACTGGTAACTAGCCCACAACTGGTCGAATCTTTGAAAAACATATTTGTGGTGCAAGCTGCAATTGGAAATTTCTTTACAGCCATATTATCAAGGGAAGGTAGGGTTTACACATTTTCTTGGGGGAATGAAAGCAAACTTGGTCACCAAACAGATCCAAATGATTTGGAGCCGCATCCTTTGTTGGGAGCGCTAGAGAATACTCACGTGGTACAAATTGCAGCTGGATACTGCTACCTTCTTGCTTTGGCTAGTCGACCTAGTGGCATGTGAGCTGCCTCTTCGTTTCTTTAGTTTTGTGCATTTGAGAAAATTTTAAATAATTGATGATGGACGTAATATGCCGGTTCTGGTAAATGTGTCTGTTCTAATTTCATAATTTGTACATTGTATTCAACTTTCTGAATTGATTTTTGGCTGAAAATTTCAATATTGGTGCAAATAAATTTGAGATCTACCTACCATGTGAAATGATTTGCCATTGACAACCGTATGCTTGTTCATTTGTCTTAGCTTTTACTGTCTTTTATAACCTGTTTATGTTATCAGGTCAGTATACTCTGTTGGGTGTGGCTTGGGTGGGAAGCTTGGACACGGTGCAAGAACTGATGAGAAGTACCCAAGGTTAATTGAACAGTTTCAGACTTTGAATCTTCAGCCTGTTGTGGTTGCAGCTGGTGCTTGGCATGCTGCCGTGGTTGGGCAGGATGGAAGGGTTTGCACTTGGGGTTGGGGCCGTTATGGGTGCTTGGGCCATGGTAATGAAGATTGTGAATCAGTTCCTAAGGTAGTTGAAGCGTTGGGCACAGTAAAAGCTGTCCATGTCTCTACTGGGGATTATACGACCTTTGTAGTTTCTGATGATGGTGACGTATACTCGTTTGGGTGTGGTGAATCATCTAGTCTTGGACATAATACTGCAGCTGCTGATGCACAGGTCTGCCTTTCTCCTTCTTAATTTTCTGAAATGATAAGAATTGCCTTTGCTCCACTTGAATAAAGAGTGCTACCTAATTCCCAGAATATATGAACATGTTTTGAATTATATGCCACTTTTATTTAACTAATCCTTCACAATTTCATTTTATTTTGTGCATTTCTGTGTTCTATGGAAACGTAATTCTCTTCTTTCCTCTTAAACAAGCATTGCCCGTTTATGATTTTGAACACATAGATATGATTGATATATATGGTTATCAACGTTGTTTGATTCTTGCTACGTTTATCATCTCAACCTGATTACTTGTCATATTTCAATGCTTCGTGTTGTAAAAGTTTTGGTACAAAAAGAGAGAAATTACATCGTACACGTTACTTTGTTACTGATACATAGACCTGATGCATTGACGAAAGTGTTTCATGATCGGTATGTGCATCCACCTAAATTTATGATATAATTGATGTGGGCTTTGGTTGTGTTGTTTTCAGGGGAATCAGAATGTTTTAAGCCCAGAGATAGTAGCATCACTGAAACAGGTGAATGAGAGGGTGGTACAAATAAGCCTCACCAATTCCCTATACTGGAATGCCCACACCTTCGCGCTCACAGAATCTGGTAAGCTATATGCATTTGGAGCGGGTGATAAAGGACAGCTGNGTTGCCACCACCACCGCCATCACTGTCCCCCGCCTCCTCACCGCCATCACCAGCCCTTGCCTCCTCACGGTTATTGCCACCACCACCGCCTCCATCGTCGCCGTCGCTGCCACCACCACCACCACCATGTCAATGCCACCCACCACAACCATTACCGTTTCCAACCACCGCCACTGCTGTCCACCACCTTTCACCTCTACTACAAACAGATGTTTAAATTATTTATCTCTTCTCTATGTTTATGATTTAATTTTGGATATGAATACAAATATGTTTATTATTTACTATTTTTTATTACTCTGTGCCTTCAGACACAGACAATAACTAGTCATTCTATATATCTAGATCCTCTATAATATTTCTTATCTTCATTTACTTTTTCTAAGCATATTGACCACTATTAACGAGTGNGGATATGAATACAAATATGTTTATTATTTACTATTTTTTATTACTCTATGCCTTCAGACACAAACAATAACTAGTCATTCTATATATCTAGATCCTCTCTAATATTTCTTATCTTCATTTACTTTTTCTAAGCATATTGACCACTATTAACGAGTGAAAGGTTTATTTGTATACAACGGGTTCAACTTAAAATTATGGTAAATGATTCACTAAGAAATAAAATGGAGAGAATATGTATTGAGGGGATCTTACTCTTCCTTCTACTGGGTAGAGTTAGGGGTGTTCAACGAGCCAAGCTTGGGTAAGTTTTGATGTGCTTAGGTTTGGCTCGTAATTTTTAAGGTCTGCTCAAGCTCAAATGCCGAGCTTAAAATTTTGCACAAGTTTAACTTGTTAGAAATGCAAGTCGTTTAGACTCGGTGCGTCTAAGCTTGTTTATTAGTGTGAGTTCAAATCTGAACGTAGGCTCGAAAAAGTTGTACGAGCTAAAAATGAGAAGAGAACATTCTTAACACTTGTACAAAAATACCCTCAAATGTCTTCTTTAACCTTCTTTGGTATGAATGATAAAACGGTAAAATAACACATATGAATGATAAATGAGCCACTTCACAAATTGTTCCGCTCAAATATGAAACGAGCTTAAAAATTGATCAGATTTGGCTCGTTTTATAAAAAAAAGCAAGCTTGAACGAGCCAAAATCAACCGAATCTAAGCTATTCGTTTCGTTTAACACTCCTATGTAAAGTTGTTAGATGCACGTTTTATAAATATTACAAGCCCAACATGTGTGGAAGCCCAATGACTGATATGGGCCAGATGGATCAGTTGGCTCTTCTGAAAACACAAAACAAACTAATGGCGGCTAATTTAAGGCACCTTCTTGAGATGGACTCTCTGTAGGCTGTTGCGGGTGGCAATTGTGTCGCGTTATTATGGATTTATGTCGAACATTAGTCAATTTGAATTCAACTCATTTAATTAATTATATCGTATTCATATTGATCTGTGAATAAAAAATTTAACACTAAGATTTAAGTTTTTATTATTATTTAATTGAATTCATACTCATACTTTTTCTGTAAACTACAAATTAACTTAATAAACATAATAATAAAAATAACTTAAAATGTCTTTTTATGTAATAATTATGTTAATATTTGGTAAATAATAAAAAATAATTGACATTTTGTTCATAGGATATTAGTTATAAACATGTTAATCGTGTCAAGTTTATATTATTTATATTTTAACACTAACTCGACTCATTTATTATTTATGTTAATAACTCATATCATTTATAATTACGTGTTGAAAAATAATTTATCATAACTAATTAATTTTGAGCCGTATTTACCTGTTGCGTCAAAAATTGCCACTTTATGTAGCCTATCGAGGACACTGGATGCCTTGCTGCAAATGGAGGTGTTGTTTGGATGGTGTTATAAAGGGAGTTTAACACGTGTTAAGGATATATAATTGAAGTGGGCTCCAGTTATTTCATATTTTATGAACAAGGTCTTTTAACCGGTTTGTCTTGACGGATTTTTGGGAGAATTTGGATTGGTTTTGTCAAATTTCTCTTTATATAGATAAGATTCAACATTGAATTCAATTCATACTCATGTTTGGTATACCCATCAATATATCACGATTATGATAATATAATTTTTTATAAATAACTATTTTGTCTTTTCATCGTTCTAATTCAAAAACATGTTTATATACGTACATTTTTTTTGTGTTCTTATGGTTTTCATATTTAATTATTTTTTTTTCCTAACTTTTAACAAAAAATCATGAATGTTGATAAAATATAACTATTATTCATAACCATAATAAAATGTAATAAAACATTAATCATACAAGACATTGTAACATTTGATATACAGGGATACACACAAATCTTGTTACACTAAATCGGCCAGACATATTCTTGTTACACTATATTAAACGTCATTATATTGGTTACAAACATCTCATATCTATTGATGACATTAATCATTAATGATAATCAAGTCCACAGTAAGTTTATATGAAGACATGACTGAAGTGAAATCAACATTAAAAATTATTGATATGTGTCCACCTTCCCATGTGGCCCGAATATTTCCGTGAAGATCTCGTAATTGGGACAAGTCCGCGCACACACTCGAGATATGAAGGTGTTATCCTACAAAAAATGACATATTGGATTTATGCACACATATATTTAATGATCTGTATACTAACATACATATGTAAAAACCTAACAAAAATAAACCTCTAAAAAAGACACTCTGACCGGATTGATTGGGAAAAGAACTTGTTGTTCGTTATTCCAACGGAACAACCCCAAAGCCTCTATATCTTTCATCTTGAAATGACATTTCTTTCAAAAAAATAATTGCTTTCATCATTAGGCCCAGAGTTAATCGTAGTGTTTGCAAACGTTCACTTATTATCTCCCATAGACGACTCCAGCCTTCTTCGAGGAATTCACCTGTGTTGGCAATGACAACCACCCCCAACCCAACCCTCTACTTGTGTGAAGAAGAGAAGAAAATAAAAGACAGACGAAGCAAAAAGAAATGAGAATTATATCGGCCAGATGTGTTTCTGTCGAAGAATAGGAGGGCTTTATATAGCCCAATCGAAGCATCTCCGAACAGTGATTGAGTTGAAAGGGCGAAGAATCTCTCTACAATTTCATCCCTAACAATTGCCTTTCTTCCATCAGTCCATCGTTGTCAGCGAAGAGGACAAGCGTCCTCCCTTTCCCAGGCATCAGTCTTTCCCAGAGATTATGTTGATCAGGTAAGATATGGTAAACATAGGGTTATGGGGTATAATTATTTTTTTGTATCCTAAACCCGTTAACCCTCATCTGAAACGCCCCCTCCCCGAGACCAAACAGCCCATAAATGGGTTAATTGTAACCCATGAGAAGGGTGAGTTAGAAATTAAATAGACATGACAAGTTTTGAAATTACTACATTGCCCTTAATGTTAGATAGTATTGGATAGCATAAAGGGTAAAATGGTACAAATATTGTAACCTAACAATCCAAACAGGAAGAAACCACACCACACCCCCAAAATTACACGATTTATTGTAATAAGAATATTTTATAATGGTTTTATTTTTTATTTTTAATCAAGTATTAGGCGAATTATTTTAGGATCAAATGATTTTTTATTAATTTCAATAGGATTTAGATGAAAATATAATTTTAATTTATGGGAGAAACACGCTCTATAGAGTTGACTGAGAAAAAAAAATGGGCGCTGGCCTTGCAATTTTTTATTAAAATGCACACGAAGATGACATAAAAACGACACAATTTTAAAATAACACAACTCGAAATCATATGATTCAAACATTGAACGACACTATTCCATTGACACGCTACTTTGGTAGCTAGTCACCACTATCAACTCTTCAATATAAGAAGCCAGTTTCTGTATTCTCCATGTACCACTCACAAGCCCATCAAAATCATTGCAATTGAACACGACTCGAAGGAGTGACAATTTCTATTACGGCATAAAAACAAGACTAGAAATTGATACAAAATTAATGGGTTAGAGTTGACTATTTCTCAACACAAACTCATAAATGATACGATCTATTAATACAAATAATAAATAGGTCATATTAGTGTCAAGCATGAACAACACAAAATTGAAACGATTATTCCGTTTCACTAGTATTATAAAAATATTAATTTTTTAATTATATTTTATCAAGTAGTGATATAGTTATTTATAAAAAAAGATATTTTATTTATTTATTATTATTATTTTTATTAAGTTAATTTTAGTTTACAGAAAAAGTATGAGCATATATTTGACTAAGTTGAAAATAAAATTTTAGACTTAAATTTGAGAGGTAAATTTGTTATCCATGAGTTATACGAATCAACACAAACACAACACCAAAATAAATAAGTTAAGTCAACGTGACATA